GAGTCGGAAAGGGTGGGCTCGACGAATCCGCGCTGTGGGTTGAAACCCTAAATCCCCGGGCTTGTGCCCTATTTAAAGGACCTTATGGCCCTTAATTGCGACTACCTTCGTCCAGTACCAGAGCATCTGTGAGCCTTGTGAGTGAGAAAGGAGGCCATTGTTCACCATTTCTTGTGGATTTTAGCAAGAAGGGAGGAGGAAGGTCAAGCTAGGCGAGTTGGGCAGCTTGAATCTACTTCTATTTGATCAGAGGAAGCTGTTGGAGGTATCAATCTATGCTTATTCTCGTATTTTTGTCGATTTGGTTGAACCTAGGGTTTCTTTATGCCTTATTTAGCTTTAATCTGGAATGTGTGAGGTCCCAAGGTGAAATGATTCTTAGATCTGGACCTTAAGGGGTCCAGAGAGTCCCTATCATTATGCTTTATGCCACCCCTTTGGAGTTATGAGCCTAGGAAGCCATTTTAGTAGTTATTTAACCAAAAGAAGCATTGGGTGCATTGCATGTGGGTCAAGTTTCGACCTTTACGTGGTTATTGGTCTTGGGGAGGTCAGATCTATAGTTTAGAAAAGCAGATCTGACCTCAGAACGTCATTTTAGAGATGTTATGGGAGCAACTCGCCGAGTCCATAAGTGGACTCGACGAGTCGAGTCGGGGTTGCCCCGCGATTCGTTGCAGAGCGACCCGGCGAGTGGAAGAGGGACTCGACGTGCCAAGCGAGGCTTAGAAGGATTCAGGGGACCCGCGTGGACTCGCCGAGTCGCCCGAGTGCACTCGACGAGTCTGGTCAAGGTTGACTTCGTTGACTATTAGAGTGTAGTCAATGTTTGGACTTTTGAGCCATTGGAGGGGTAGAATGGTCTTTTACCCTTCTTAGAGAACTTAGAGAGGGTTTAGCCTAGACTTTGAAAGTCGTATTGATTAGAGTAACTATTTTATGTGATTAGGCGGAGACTAGATCAGTATTTCCGAGTCCGAGGGTTACCCGAGTTATCCGAGGTGAGTCTTCTCACTATACTTTACCTAGAGTGGTAATTAGAGTATGTGACAGAGTATGTTGTATGCTATTATATGATGTGATATCTATGTGATTATGTGCTATGTATGATTCAGAGTTTACAGAGTTAGGACCAGAAGGTCCACAGAGTTATGGGACTGGAGGGTCCCATTGAGACACTTTTGACCAGAGGGTCATACAGAGTTATAGCCTCGAGTGGCTAATATGTGTTGTATGTGGTATTTTGGGGAACTCACTAAGAATTTATGCTTACAGTGTTTTGTGTTATGTGTTTCAGGTACCAGTGAGGATCGCGGGAAGGCGCCGGCATGATCAGTACACACTATTGGAGTTTTATACATTTTGATCTTGGGATGTGTTTTTATGGATTTGATATGTGATACATTGAGATTTGAGAATATTTATGAATGAAATTATATCTTTAAAAGTGAAAAATTGTTTTGAAATTTACGTTGTTACAGTTCTTGAGTTCTCGTAAATATTTAAGTTCTCAGAAGAACTTATGTCTCTCTCTCTCTATCGCGCTCTCTCTCTCTCTCTCTCTCTCTCTCTCTCTCTATATATATATATATATATATATATATATATATATATATATATATATATATATAGAGGTATGTTCAAATGTGGATTAACAAATATTATGTGGATGTAGGGATTAATATGGGCCAAGTATTATTTAATTTTAGTAAATAATTAATTAAATCTTTCACCCTTTAATTTAGGCAAATTACTTTATTTAAAACCTACTGCCTATTTCATCCACACCCACAAAATCGCCTCCCGCTTCCATCGAAGATGTCAAGATCCTCGGCACAAAATCGCCTCCTGCTTCCGTCGAAGATGTCTAGATCGCCGGAGGGAAGTTCTCAGGTGCGCTGTCCGCTATTCCGGATGTCGTGACCAATCGAGATCGTCTCCGGGGTTCGAAGAGGTTGAAGAGACAGAGGGAAGAGGGGAGGTCGTCGATTTCCAAGTCTCAACTTTTTGGAGATATTTCATTCACGTAAGTATTTTTTTTTCAAGTCTCGGTATTGAAAAACTTAAACTTTGATGTTCTTTAGAGAATTTATGTTTTTTTGATTTTGCTTCCGATCATACTAAGCCTTTCACAGGATTTTGGCTTGTTTGATGATAATGCCTAACAAGTGTTTGTTGAAATGCTTGAAAGAGAATATAAAGAATTTAACCTTGTGGTATGCATTCTGTCAGAATTACTAGCAACACATGTTCTAAGTAATTGTTTAAAAAGGTAATTAATTTGTCTGTGTATTATTTTGGTTCAATTTGTGATTTTGAATTCCAATTTCTATTGTCCCTCGTTATTGTATATATGGAATCTAAAATTATATTAGCAGTAAATACAAAACTTTTGAATGTATTCTATGTATTCTGTCAAAATATTCTGCCAGAATAAAATCTATGTATTCTGTCATAATGTATTCTATGTATTATGTCATATTCTATGTATTCTACCAGAATATATAAAATTTTAGTTAATTGCAAGTAGCATGTTTTTAACCATTATTAGTTTTTGTTGTATTTGTGATAGGAATGGTTGGAAGAATGCGTTGAAGACCTAATAGGAATAACTTGAAAAATGAATAAAGTTTGATCATATTTATGATTTAAGAATGTTGTTATTTTTTAAGAGTTTTATTCATTTTTGTTGATAGTCTTTTAGAATATGTACAATTATATTAAAATGTATAAGACTTTTAGTCTGTAAGAATATGTATGAATTTGTATTTAAGTTCGGATGTATAAGAATATATTAGAATGTTGTTATTTTTCAACCTCGGATTCAAGAATTTTGTTATTTTCAATAATATTCTAATAGAATAAAATTATGAAAGAACATCATTCTAGCAAAAAAAATATTTTGATAGAATAAAATCGGTTATGTTTACAAATTACGTTAAAATTAAAATTGAATTAATTAAAAAAATTCAGATTTTTAAAATTATGAGAATTAATTATCCCTAAAAATCCGAAAATTTCCTTTTTTAAATGTAGTTAATTGTCCAAAATACTCTTTTGCTAAAATTTGTATGATTATATGGTACATGTTATCTCATTGTAATATAATACACTTTCAAATCATGTCAATTGATTAACTCCATTCGTTGGTCCAGATCTGTGCATTCTGGCACACAATAGTTAATAAAAACAAAATAACCTAACCCTATATATATATATATATATATATATATAATATATATATATATAAATTCAATTTTATAACTTTTTCCGTTTTCTTTTTTTTTGTTTTTTATCTTCTTTTAATGATTTGCGTACATCTTTGAATTAAATACCAATTCGAGTTTTTGATGTTTAATAGTTATAAAAGTTTCGAATCATAAAGATATTAAGCATCATAATAATTTCACATCATATATTTTTGAATCATATCATTTTGGAACATAAATTTTTTGATTATATCATTTTAGATCATAAAATTTTAGATAATTTCATTCTTTAATATAGTATTTTGGATTATATCATTTTTAATTATATAACTTTGGATCATAATATATTCAATTAAAAAAAGTTTTTGTTCATAACAACTTTTGGATCAATATATTTTTTGAATCATTTAATTTTGAATAATAAATAATATAATAATTAAATATTATAAAATACTTGGATCAAATATTTTTAAATCATAACAAATTAAGGACCACAAACATATTGAATCGTAACTTTTTGAATCATAAATATTTTGAATTATTTGATTTTGGATCATATTATTTTCACTATTATTTTTTAAAAACTTATAACCTTTTAAAATAAAGTTTGGTATTTAAACAACCTTCATTTTGAAATAAAATTTCAAAATGTTCATAGTATATTGATCAGAAGTACCCTTAGTTTTTCATTATTTTTAGAGAACCTTGATCGATGATTTTCCTATTTTTTCTTTTCATCTCTATTATATTAATTTTCATTTAAAAACTTGGTATGTTTTAATAATTAGTCATGAATTTTAATGTTTTATGTTCATAGACACGGTGAAGAAAAAGAACAAAGACTCAATTACTGTAGGAAGGTCCGTGAGTTTAGGAAGAATAGTAACTAAAGGATCATGATTAATTTGGATATATTTGAACCAAAAATGCGTAGTTTGAAGATTTATATATAATATATATATATATATATATTATATATATATATATATATATATATATATATATATATATATATATGGAAAAGTTATTTGGAAAACAAAAAAACCCTAAAAATTATAAAAATGCATAAAAAAATACCAAGACATCACAAAACTTTTTTTTGAATTTTTTTATCAAAAAATCGCAGCATTTTTTATAATTTCGCTGAAAAAAAATCAATTTTTATTTTTTTTTATTATATTTTTTTTTTGTAAAAAAAAATTTTCAAATTTTTTTTTCAGCGATTTTGACCTAAAAGTTGCGAGTTTTTTGATAAAAAAATTCAAATTTTTTTTTGTGATCTCTAAGTCTTTTTTTTATGCATTTTAATAATTTTTAGGGTTTTTTTTAAGGTTTTGTTTTCCATAGAACCTAAACATATATATATATCTATATATATATATATATATATATATATATATATATATATATATATATATATATATATATATATATATATATATAATAAATTACTAACATTCTTTATCTATAAATTTACTTTCATTTAGTTTTTTACTTATACATAACCGATTAGATGTTTGACTGACTCATTTTATCATGTCAAACAAATTGAACATGTTAACATAATATAGTGATACATTCCGTTACATTTCTCATTTGGTTCATTTGTGATAACATAATTCACCCTTAATTTAATATTTTTAATGTTGCACCCCATGTGAATCATATTTTGTTTCTGTGTATAAGTGTTATATATCTTCAAAATAGTAAGTAAAGCATTTAAATGTTGGGGTCCGACAGCCAAAACTATCTATATAAGGCAAATTGTATCGGTTTGTATTTTCCACAATCTCATCAACTCTTTTAAATAAGTGTTTTGTCGGTTTTGGAAATAGTAAGAGATGGCCCTTTCTGGAAAGTTAATTTGTTATTTAGAGATTAGTAAGAAGGGAAATGTCTTCCTTGATATCTTTAGATACAACCCACACGAGTTTTCTACAATATGTCCTCATAAGGTTCATGCATGTGAACTGATTGAAGGTGATCGGGGGGCCGTTGGATCTCTCGTCCATTGGCACTACACTCATGGTATGTCATAAGGAAACTCCTACTTATATTTCTTTGACCAAAACTATTTGTGATTTTGAATTTTTATTTGTTTGAGTCCAATTTATATATATATATATATATATATATATATATATATATATATTCTTTCTCTATAATAAATGAATGTTTTTTTTTGCCACATGTCATCTTTTCCTTCATTTTAACACTTGTCATTTTGTGGGAGTTTTAAAATTTTTATTTTCCACTTGTCATTTTTTAGGAATTTCCATTTTCTTAAAATAAAATTCCATAAAATTGTAATGGATTCTATAAGGAAAAATAAAACCATCTTATTAATTTGATAATAAATTCTCATAAATACTCCAAACGATTTAATTTCTTTTGCAAATGTTTTAAAATATTACATTTTGTTATGTAAAGTATTACTTTATAAAATATTTCATATTTATATATTGATATTAAATTTTTATTTTTAATAAACTCGTGTAATACACAGGTCTCACACATAGTATATATATATATATATATATATATATATATATATATATATATATATATAACATATTTACTAAAAATGTTGTCTTTGAATATCTGAACGAAAATTAGAGGGAAAGAAGAAAATTGATAAAGCCATAATCGAAGCTGTTGATGAGGAAAAGCACAAGATCGTGTTCGACGTAATCGGAGGAGATCTAGTGGAGGATAAATACAAGACCATGAAAGTCATATTTCATACTGAAAAAAAGGGTGATGCACAAGTGCTAACTGTGACACTTGAGTTTGAGAAGCTTAACACAACTGTACCCTATCCAACTTCTTTTATGGACTGGTTTTGCAATGTGCTTAAGGACATAGATCTATGCATATAATAACACTAAACAAGTTCTAATAAACAAATGAACTGAAGGGAAGTTATGGGTGTTTCTCCGAATGTTTGAATAAACTACGTCAACAATGAATAAAGAGAAAGAGAAGTTAATGTGTGCTGGTGTAATTTGTATACGATGAATCGTTTTAATATAGTATATTATTCTCGTTCGCCAATGATTTTGGTTGTTGGAAACCGTTTTCTGATCCCCAAAACAAATTATTTCTTGGGCATGTATTTGTTTTCTTGATAACGATAAACACTTAGCAATCTACTTTTAAGTTACATTATTGTCCTAAACAAGACTTAACCCACTATAGCAAAACAAACCTTCACCCATGGCAAAATCTATAGCTAATAGGATTTATCCATGGTTTTTCCATGGATACTATCTGGTGACGTAATATGGTCATGGATAATATTTTTTCCCATGAATATATTACCTACAGGCTTACCATGGATTTTTTACCCACGAATTATCCACAAAGTGGTTACCCTCGGCTTTTCCACGGACTTGGTACCCACGGATTATCTGCGACAAACAGTAAAATTAGGTCAGCGTTCACCACTCAAATCCACCTTCTAATAGACCTAATGTAATGTATTCAACACTTTTCATTGCAAGTAAAGTTTTTATACTTAGATATGCATATGGAATAACACTTTAGCTTTTAATGGATATAGATCGTTGACAAACAAAACACTATGCACAATACATAAGTAAATAATTAATACATTGAAAACAAAATTTGTGTATTGGGTATTTTTTTTGTTATGTGTAAATGATACTCTAAACAAATAGGGTGTGTAAATATGATTTTGTGGATATAAAGAACGTCCAAAATGGAGATCGTACGCAAAAGATATGACCTTTTTAAGGAAGCAAATCAGTAATATAACTGAATTTCTGTAAATGAACTTTAAAACGATGTGTAGGGTTAGCTACGTATTTCGTTAAGTATTTTTTAATGCGTTTTTGGAATCAGATAATGTCCTAATATTTGATTCCATTTTCGAAAGTTTTGTATCACGAAGTTATAACACTTTCGCAAAAACTGTTTAATCACGATAACCGCAAAACAACTGAATTCCGACTTCGAACGCGTTTTTGACATAGTTTCGTCTTTCATTAGAAATTTCGTTTACATATTTGGAAACTCCAAATTCGGGAAATCGAACTAGTTTTTCAAAAAAAAAAAGTTAGATGTTGTTTTTCGTAGGATTTACGCACGTGATTCGAGGTCATGACACATGTCTCGATTGTGGTGGATCCGCTTGGCTCAACGAGGAGGCGACACTTGGCGAACTCTTGTGGCTTGGAAGTGACTAAAAAAGGCGAGAATAGATGCCCTCTCTCCCACCGATCTTTCTCTAATCTATCTCTCGGTCTTGATTTCTGACCATCGTCCCTCTTCCTTACGCCACCACAAGTCGCCACATGTTGGCTCCCTTCTGCCGATCGGAGCTCTGACAACCCCCTTCCCTCCGACAACAGCCTCGACGGAACAAACCACGATCGAAAAAGCCAACAACTGTCATGAACAACTGCCGCCAACGAAACTCAGTTCCCGGCCCACTTTTAAACTATTAATATTTTCGGGGGAGAATACGTGCATAATACTCGTTATTATTTTATATAAATGTTTTCATTTATTATCTAAATGTTTATATAATTATAAAAATGGTTATATATGTATTTAATAAACACTAGTTATTTAAAATAATAATACATTTGTTTTTTCCAAACCATATACTTTGATGTTTATTAGCTAAATAAATATTTAATATTTTATAGATTATAATTATGAATTAAAAAATTAGAAATTGTTATAGTTATATAGTTTATAATCTATTAAATAGTTGTCGTATTGTTAAAAAACAATAATTATACATCTATTTAGACTTGTATGCATATTTGGAATTGTGGGTTTTACGTTGGTTAAAATCTAGATTTACTCGGATTACAGCCGTTATGCTGCTCGATTATTGTTAGAACTATATGCATGGTTAAATTTTTAGTCTAGTAACTTAAGGTTTTAGACACACACATTCGATCATTGTTGGAACTTCTAAAACTCGGAAAGTCTACATGAGATATGCAATTCATCAAACCAAGAATAAAACTTAGTAAAGACATATGCCCTATAACCGATAATCACATGCGAGTGAGGAAGTTATGTATAAATATCTATATGGTTTTACACCTCCACCTGTGGTTGCTAGCTAGAAAAGCACCAAGTAGATGTCTGAACATCATATAGCAACAATTATAGTTTCATGTAGCATCAAGTTCACTCTAAGGCATGCATACTTGTACAATATATATATAAGTATCATAAACACCTATATATGGAGTTCATATAATTTTTTGAGCGTAGAACTTATATTATTAGTAAAAAATTATACCCAACACATACACTTGTATGGTAAAACTGATTATAAGTCAGGTACTTATACACTATATTTTATTAATTTTGGGTTAGAAAAAGCACTATCTTGTATAAGTATAAAATAATTATATATTTTATATATATACCTTTTGGTCATAAAAAGTACATTTTATATAAGTTGGTGAAGCACTAATATATTGTATAACCATAATTTTGTTATAAAAGTACACAAAGTCAAAACCTATGAGCTCACCAACTTTATGTTGATGTATTTCCAAAAACGCATGTATTCTCAGGAACATAAGAAGTTGGAATCATACACACATAGGATCACTCATGGGAAATTTTGTTAGCAATCACAATTCTATCTTTTATGTATTCCCTACCTAACTATTATGGCATTTTTTGCACTCTTGATTTTGATGTTAGGTTATAATGTACTTGTGGAACGATATCGATGTAACTTCTATTTAGCAATAATAGAAGTATGTATTTTGTTGTGTTGTTATTTTTGTATTGTTCAATGTACGTTCAATAACTGTGATCCATGAGTAAGCCACACATCCCGGTTTCTGCCGCCGGCCGGGGGTGTGAGAGATTGATATCAGAGCTATTGGCTATACTGAACTTGTACTTCCTTTGGAAAGCACGACTATAGACTAGGGCTTACACTATTAGGTTAGGTATTCCCATAACCTACAAATAAAAGTATTATTAATTATAACATGGATAGGCTACATACTGGAACAATTTCAAGGATGGACATGGTGTAGGGATGTTGGATTTCAAAAAAGCTATACGCCGAAATGATCCTGTTTTCCGATTGTTTTGACTGGCCGAACCTTATCAGCTAGCCTTGCAGTATCAAAAATAAATTAATAATACACGGAAAGACAACAACACAAGATATGGAATCGTGTGTGTGTGTATATATATATATATATATATATATATATATATATAAAGACTCAGACCCGCGATGAGAATACATATAGATCACTCCATAACAGTCTAGAACTCAAGAATTTAGATCAAATACTCTGACTAAAGTTTTATGAGTACATAGATTGTACCACAACTAAATGTAGGTGTCCAACTACATTTTATTATGGTTAGATCTCTTGCACTATTAAACATGGATAATGTATTTGATAGGCTAAGCACTTGGAGATTCTAAGAGACTTGAACACATTCACAGTTAAGAACACAGAAATCACAAGAACTCTTGATGGCACCATAAAATACTTATATATCCAATCATAAAACATTATATGGATATACCAACCTTGTTTTATATAGGTCAATAACACACCTAACATGGCTAAAACCTTGAGTGGATGCAGCTGGAAGAACCCGAAGAAGAACAAGTCGCCCTATTCTCTCGTTTTCCAGTAGACCCTTACTTCCCTGAGGTCCCGACACTGGTCAACCCCATACCATCTGACGATGGAGCGCCTGTACCATCTGACAGTAACGAAGAGCCATTTGAAGAATATGAACCATGCGAAGAGCCTGAGTCTTCGGAAGAGATCGAGCATGTGGACAAGACAGAACAAATTGCACCACCTCTACCACCATTGAACACCCCATACTGTCCAGTTCCTAAAGAACCACAGATGACGTGCATTTCATGCAAATCTAACCCCATCCGTGGAAAGATTAGGAAGACCACGCAAGAGACATCTTCTGAATTTCAAAGACTTCGAGACAATCCTTCTTGGCTTACTGGTTTATGGAAGATTGGGTTGTAGAGGGAAGAGTTACTCGCAGGTACGATATTGGCCATACATCTGGAGCACGCCCCCACCTCCTGCGGATATTGATAGTTTACCTTGGATGTTTGAGCGTAGTTTCAGACTCAGACATCAGCTCATGACCGTGAATGATGAATTAGTATCATCGAAGGAAACGATGTACATATTTCTAGGCGAGTGTAGAGGCTGGAAGGACAACGCATTTAGGATCAAGAGTCTGTGATGGACGTTGTTACGCCCCCAAGATAGGGCTAAATGATTAAAGAATAATAGGATAATTATTCGTCGCGGTGATAAATAGATATTTTTTATAGATGATTATTGAGGATAAATAATATAAACAAAAGTTATAGTAATCATAAAAGAGAGAACGTGTGTATAGAGAACGTCCAAATCTGACTTCATATAAGGAATATATGATTTTCAAAGTTTCAGTATAGCAGTATGCGACACAGAAACTGAAATTAAGAACGGTTGACTGTTAGGAAAAACAATCTAAACGAGAGTTGAAGATCTCGTCAATACCTATTCCTCGATATAAAGTAGTCGAGAATGGATATCGTATGAAAGAGTTATGATTTTTATACGTACTTTAACAGTTTAAGACTGTTAAAAATATAACTATAAAAATAAAATGAAAAATAGCCGACAGAGTCTAAATGAAACTTTTAGTACTCGTCGATAGATATGCGTGGATATAAAGAACATCTAAAATGGATCTCGTATTAAAAAGATAATTTTTTAAGATTTGGAAATTCGTATGCGCGTGCAAGAGACGTGGTGCACGCTTCTAGAATTTGTCGACGTATCCTCACACAACAGCCACCACGTGTCACGCTCTAGGAAGAAGTAGTGCTGACCAAGCTTTGGCCGCGGTCCACACTTGGTCGGGCGCGGAGCACAAATCAAAATCCTACCCTACAAACTGCCCTCAACCCTCATTGTTTCCTCACACCATTTCTAATCACTCTCTCGAGTTTATCCACTTTGGTCTGAAATTTCTAGCATTTTGTAACATCCCGACTCCCAG